TTCTGGTTCTGTGGGAGTTTTGTTTGCTTGTTTTGTTGTTTTGTTTTTTGTTTGTGTTTGGTTTTTGATTGATGTTAATGCCAGGTTGAGCTTGGGTGTACATATTAAAACATAGGGTTCAGACTGAAGAGCTGGGTCAGTTGTAAAGTGAGAGGTAAGCATGAGGACCTGAGTTTTACCCAAGTATTTATGTTGAAAAATTAAAAGATGGGCACAGTGACACACACTTGTAATCCCCGCTCTGGGGAAGAGGAGACAGGCAGACCCCTAGGGTTCACTAGATAGCCTAGCCAATTCAGTGAGCTCCAGGCAAGTCAAAGACCCTACTACATGCACACATGTTCATGCATACACATATACACATCTACATATCATGCAAACCCAAAATAAAATGTAGGTTGTTGAGGTTTGGTCTTTTGCTATGCATTGTAACACTAAATACAGGCCCCCAAGGTTGCCCCCAGGGATGAGAGACTCCACACATAAACACAAGCGATGCTATGTTACCTCGCCTCACCCCCAAGTTAACCCTGATTGGTGAATAAAGATGCCTGCTGCCTATAGCTGGGCAGGACAGAAATAGGTTTGGGTTCCTAAGCTTGAGGTCTGAAGAGAGTCCACAAGGAGAAGCAAGAGAGGAAAGATGGAGAGAAAAGTCGCCATGTGTTATATGAGTCATGAAAACATGGCCCAGAGGGCTGGCCAGATGGAGCACGGCAAGTTATAATTCAGGGGCAAGTAGATTCTAATAGCTTTGAGGGTAGATATCTGCCCAGCTCTAATTTAAGACTTATTATAAATATGAAAGTTGTATGTCTTTTATCTGGGAACTGAATGATCAAGGGCAGGATAGAAATCCCGACTAAGATTAATTATTTAGTACAACAGTAGGCTTTTGTATTCAGGTATGGGAAGGCAAACCCATGATTGAGAAGATAGCTTGTAGTACCTCAAGATTCCAAGAGGAGGGAGCATGCCATGAGGGCCTTTATTGTGGTTTCCATGGAAAGGTGAGGTACACAGGAGGCAGGCTTAGGATGGGCTAGTTTGAGTAATCTCAGCAGACTCTAGGATGACAGAATGGTCCTCACCGTGGGGTGAGCAGTGGAGTGGGACAGTGAACCAATGTTAGAGCCGGCTAGGAGTGTGACTCATACCCATAAAAGGTGCTCACAGGTGATCTTGGTTTATCACAGGGCATTAGCTGGCTCTGCGTAACAAAAGTTCACATTAGTGCTAGAACCCCCTGGCTAATCCAATTATATAAGGAATAGCCATGTAACTTTGGGAGCTTATTCTGAGTCTCAATTGCAAGTCTCCTGGCTTTCAAACTGACCTTTTGGTGTGAATGAGATGCAGGGGCAGAGATCAGCAGTGTTGGCAACTACTAGTGCTCTATCTACCGCGCATGTCTTTATTATAAGTGGAGGGACCATGATTCAGAAACAAGGGAAGGATCATGCCTGGCGTTGCATGATGAAGGGCATGTGTCAGCATCTGGCTCTCCTGACTGCAACGTAGCCAGAAGTTTCTTTGTCCTTGCTATTATTGTAAATACTCACAGCAGCACTGGGCATAGATGTGACAGTCATTCTTATGAGTCCATAGATTGTGCTGGATGCAGTTATCCTGGAGACCCAAGAGAGTAAGTTGTTTCCATACATTTCACCAAATAGATGAGTAACTCTGCTTTCTCTGAAAGTCTACCATCTACTGATAAATGGATCGATTTCCCATTAGCCTTTAGGAGTGATGCTAGGAAGAGTTAGGTTTGGAAATCTTAGCATTTAAGTTCTTCTCCCATGTGCAATTTCTTCCTTTCCTTCCTCCAATGAATATTTATTATGCCCAAGACACTGTGAGGAAGCAATTTACATAGAAAAATGTAATGGAAGGGAACGAACAAGCAATGCTTCACTATGGGAGCCAGCATTTGCTCTTATGTGATGTCTCCATTTCTGTAAGCGCTTAAATGAAAATAATGAGTGAAATACAAAGACATCCAGATGCAGTCCAAAACAGGAGAATGGCTGTTGCAGACTGCAATTAATCTCTGTCATAAATCTACCCCCTTTTCACCTGAGGGTTTCATCCAGCGTAATTATTCTGCACTGTCATCACACCAAAGGGACAGAAGCTCTTAGACTAGTACAATAATTAACAGCATAACCACAGCACTTCAAATACTCGTCACTAACTGACCCTGCTCCTCTGATCCAAAGTCAGCGGCAAGGAAGGTTCAAACCCAGGGGGTGTTCTTTACAGGTCTGGATTGCACGCTTGTGCTCCACAGAGACAGAGCCGAGGCACTGAAGAGCCTGGCAGGTACTGGGCAATTCTGCACCTCACTGTGTGACAGCAACCATAGCACAAAAGAGGCTAAGACACAACATCACAAAATTGCCTCCCAGTATTCTGTGTGCAGACTTGAAGGGAGGATTGCCAAGGTCAGTGTGCTGAAGATGTGGCAGAGGTGGATGAGACCCTTTCCATAAAAGAGGAAACTTCGTCTCTTTCCTACAAGGGGGTCAAAAAGAAGATTCCAAAGATCCAGGTAAGTCCAGGAAGCTCCATATGTTGTAAAGAACCCAGAAGAAATGTGTGGATGAAGAGCAGTCTTCGGAAAAGTGAGGAACTGAGGTAAGGGAAAATATATGAAGACTATTTCATTGCTGAAGGAAAGCCCAGGGCAGCAAGGAGGGCAGCCATGCAGCCTGAAAAGGGACAAAGACAGGAGAAGAGGAAAATAAACCGAGTAAAGAGGAAGAGGATGGAGGTGCTGGTGGTAGTAAATAAGTCCTATCAGAGTTCTCCCAGGTCTACAGCACAGTCATGTCCCCTGTGTATAACTCCTTTGTGTGTATGCATGTGCAGGTGCGCATGTGCAGAGGTCAACAACGGGTGTCCGAGTGCATGCATGTGCAGGTGCGCATGTGCAGAGGTCAACAACGGGTGTCCGAGTGCATGCATGTACAGGTGCGCATGTGCAGAGGTCAACAACGGGTGTCCGAGTGCATGCATGTGCAGGTGCGCATGTGCAGAGGTCAACATCGGGTGCCCGAGTGCATGCATGGGCAGGTGCGCATGTGCAGAGGTCAACAGCAGGCAGCTTCACTCTCTTTCACTCTCGCCTTAGTTTTTGAGGCAGGTGTTCCATGAACTTTGAATTGTCAATTTAGCCTGGTTGTCCTGCAGGCCTACACAGATGGATGGCCTTAGCCTCATCCTCCAAGCACCGGGATTATAGGTGTGTGCCACATGCCTGTCCTTTTCCATGGGTGTTAGCAGATTGGATTCAGGTCCTCCTGCTTGTGTGGCAGGCATTTTACTAATGGAGTCATCTCCCCAGCCCCTGTACTTCCATCTTTTAAAGAAAAAATAAAATAAAATGGAAGGCTATGTAAAATTTTCTTTAAAGAATGCAGTGTCTGGGCTAGAGATATGGTTCAGTGGTTAAAAACACTTACTGCTCATAAAGGGGATCTGAGTTTGGGTCTCAGCATCCGTATGGGTGGCTCACAACCACATCATCTCTGATACCTTCTTCTAGCCTTCATGGGCACCAACTTCTCTCTCTCTCTCTCTCTCTCTCTCTCTATCTCTATCTCTATCTCTATCTCTATCTCTCTCTCTCTCTCCAATCTTTAAGGATATACAGTGTCCTGTCCTTTCACATAGTTAAGGTACCACAGTCCTTATTTTTAAAAGCCACAAATCCTGCATTGCAAATGAATGAAAATTTAAAGCTGGTTCTTGGTACATAATGCACAGTAATTACACACAGGGCAGGTAGTTCTCCACTGCCAGGTGGCTTTTCTCCAGCTCATAAGAAATCATTGTTTTGGTAACTGAATACCACTGTAATTGAAAAAAAAATTTTTTAAAAGGTTGTAGCTGTTAGCATTCATAATTCCTCTGACTAAATACATTAAGAACAACAAACAAACAGGTCAAGATCTGTCTAAACTTGGTTCCTAGAACTTCCCTTCACGTGAGCACCAGCTAAATCAAAGTACCTGGTACTTTGTTCCACTCTCAGTATCGCTGCATTTCAGCCATCCACACTCAGCATGGCGCGGATAACATCTGGAGTGAAGTCAGTGGACCTGGCTTCCGCTAACAGCTTAAGCCTTCCGGAGCTGAGCTTCTCCATCTTGAGGCTGGGTTGATGGTACCCATAGCCTACACCTTCCAGATCCTGTCTACACCTTCCAGGCCCTGCCTACACCTTCCAGGGTCTATAGGTCTACTGTAGCTTCCCTTGGTCTATAGAACATTCTTGTGAGTACACCTTCCTATTGGAGGAGGTAAAGCCTGGACAGCCCCCTTGATGACTTCCTTGGTCCCAGGTTTGAGTCCTGTGCTCATTATATCCTAGAGCTCAAAGTGAACCTTGAATGTATGTGTTGTTGGTTTTCAATTCTATAGAGAACCACTCAAGGTGGTTCATGGGCAGAAACGAAGCCCGGACCATCCTCTCCCGCAATTAATTCCCTTGGGAATGAAACCTACAGCGACCCACTTCAGAGAACTCATGAACTTCAAGAACTCAAAAATACAGTAATGGCACCAGGAACAGCACAGACACATAGCAGCAAAGGGAGCTGCCGATGACAGGAGAAGGCTTCCAGCGGCATAGACTATCAATGGTGGTCACCATGGCCTTGGACCCCTGTTTGACCCTCAGTTTTTGAAGCATCTGTGGTTGTCTGGGCCCTTACAACAGACTTACCCCGCTGTAGCAAATCTCCAGAGGCAAACTGGATTTAGGTAGAGAAGGTCAAATTACACTGCTTTGCAAGGCCACATTTTGAAAAAAAAAAAAAAAAAAGAGAGAACGAGTACCGGAAGTAGTTGGGCGTGGCCTACCGATGCTGGCTAAGTACTTCCTCTGCTGCAGGAAGGGTATCATGGGAACCTGCAAGTGGGCTTGCTCAGTGTCCTCTCCCTTCCCCCTTTTACTTGAACATGCTGCACCAGCCCTCAGGGATGCCAGTGACAGTGCCCAGGAGTTCTCTGCTCACAGGAGTCCCAGGAGCTTCAGGTAAAAGCCCAGCCTTTTAATGTGCACTTCAGGCTAAGAACTTGCAAATGCTTACGAAGAATGCCTGTAGCAGACAGCAAATTAATGAAGTTCTGGGCAGGAAGGGAACCAATATCCCCCTACACCAGTGGCTCTCAAACTTTCTTGTGGTGACCCACCATAAAATTTTTGTTGCTGCTTTCTATCTGTACTTTTGCTATTGTTATGAGTCATAACATAATATAAATATTTGTATTTTCTGATGGTTCTTTGGGGATCGTGACCCAAAGGTTGAGAACCTCTGCTGGACCCAGGCAAGAGTCAGCCTGAGAGGGTCAGAGGTAGAAAGGGGAGGGGCAGCATGGTGCCTACACGGAGCCTGATGAAAGCTCATTTCTCCCACTTCAGTCACATTCTGTGTTAACCTGCAGGGGAGGCAACTGCCAAGGTCAAAAGCTGCTGATAAGATTGAGAGGCCTGTGGAGGCCTTGTCTAAGACAATCGAGTGTTCTTCCACCTCCTACATTTCAAAAGTAACCATGAAGGTCGCATCATTGGGGCCCACTCCCTCCCCCGCTTTGTGTGTGCTTTCAGTATGAGTGTGTTGAGTACATGAGGGCCAGGACGACTGCGTAGGCATGAAACCTTTTTGATATCCTTTCCAGGACTCTGCTAGCATGAACAGTGGCCTGTGCGACTGTCAGGTGGAAGCACATGCTGTCTCACAAGGGAAGCCACTTTAGCTAAGCAAGATTTCTCATGGTGGCTGTCAGTGTGAGCCACGCTGTGCTGTGACTGAGTGACTGAGACCAGTAGCCTGAAAGAGGATGGACTTGCAGAAAATCGAATGTTTTATGGGAAACTTTTATGTTTTTCAAAAGTTATTAAATTTAAAACTTCTATATTTGCATATATTCATTGTATTATATTTCATTGTGATATATTCATACATGTATATCAAATAGATTGGAAAAGGACATTTTAAAAGCTACTGGGGCTGGAGAGATGGCTCAGCATGTTATAGTCTTGGAGAGGACCTGGGCTCAGTTCTCAGAACCCATATCTGATAACTCACAACGCCTGTAACTCCAGCTCCAGGGAATCTGACCTCTTTGGGTACCCGTGTTTGTGTAGTGTACATACTCCACCTCCACACACACTCGTACACACTCACTCAAAACACACACACACTCATACACACATTCATACACACACTCAAACACATTCATGCACACTCATACACACACGCATACACACACACTCATACACACTCAAACACACACTTATACATGTGCTCATACACACTCAAACACACTTATACACACACTCAAACACACACACTCATACACACATTCATACACATACTCATACACACACTCAAACACACTCATGCACACTCATACACACACGCATACACACACACTCATAACACACTCATACACATACACACACTCATACACATACTCATACACACACTCAAACACACTCATGCACACTCCTACACACACGTATACACACACTCATACACACACATACACACACTCAAACACACACACTCATACATGAGCTCATACACACTCAAACACACTCATACACACACTCATACACGCACTCATACACACACTCAAACACACTCATACACACTCATACACACACTCAAACACACATGCATACATACACACACATACACACACATCTATACATCATGAAAAGTTAAATCTTTAAAAAAAGAAAGCTGCATGATTTTACTATAGTTAAAATTCCATGTATTTCAAAGACATATTTTAAATTAAAATTTAAGTGGCTATGTCTTAGGAATGTCCAATTGTTCTCACTGGGGAACTGGAAAAGACCCTTCCCTGGACATTGCTGAGGTCAGGGGTTCTGTATCCCAGCTGAAATGTCTTAGTAATTAGAGTTCCTGGTTCACTCACGACCAGACCTCTGGGTTGGGTGTAGACATCTGCGCTGAAGACAACTATCCAGAGGCTTTGCCTATACTGTGTAATCTGAGGGACCGTTAGGTGGGATAAGCTACTCAGGCTGCAAACTACACAAAGAATAACTCCATTCTTGGTTCCTAGGAAATGGAAAATGAAAAGAATTTTTTTTAATTCTCAAGTCTTTTTTTCCTTTTTGTTCTGCTCACCTAGGTGTTAATTAAAACTCCAAGTTATCCAGTAACCACTACCTTTGTCCCTGGCCAGTTCACACTACCCATAAGGCACATTGGTGATTTCCCTTTCTCCTACCTCCTCCCTAGAAAACCAGCTCTCCTAATTTGCTGGATACAACAAATTCTACAACATCCTACATTCCCTGCCTTCTCTGCACCCTTCTCTCTTCCAGCATCAGAACAAGAGATCTGTTTTGACCATTTTCAAGGTCATCCCCTCCCAGAGTCCTCCAGGTTCACTCCCAACCTATCACCTGTTTAGGCCACCCTCCCTTTACCTTTCTTTCTTCCTTTCTTTTTTCTTTTTTTCCAACTTTGTTCTAGAAGCCAAATCTTTCTCAACAGACAAAACACTGTTGAGCTTTCTTAGAGCAAAACCAGTTCTACCTCGATCCTAAGTCCTTGAAGGTCCTTCTCACCAAAACCAAACTGTTCAAGGACTAGTGAGCACAGACTGTTGACCCCTCTCCTCTCACCTTCCGTTTACCTGCCTCAGTGTATGGTTACCTGGCCCCTGGCTCCAGCAAGAGATTGGAATTGGTCTCACCAAAGGCAACAACCAACTGTCTCTTTCTAACTAGTTTGCTGCCTTGTTGGGGATGCCAGGGATGGCTCTATTCTCCACAGACCCGTCCAGACCCCTTAGAAATTCCTCTTCCCCCACATTGCTCCCTGTTGTCAGGCTTTCTGCCTAGGCTCCCAGCATTCTTTGTGATTCCACACTCTGTCATCTCTCTGCACTTGCTCATTCCCTCTCATCTGCCTGTGATGCTCATTCCCCATGGCCTTTACTCTTGTGTCTCACACACCTTAGCTTGTGTACTTCCTTGTGGGGAATGATAGCTCGCATGTGGGCACGTGCGTGGGTTCTTGAATCTTGTTGGGGTGTTGTGATTCCCACAGCTCCAAAGAGACTGGAGTGCGGGAATCTCGACTGAGTTCACTCCACGAGCAGCACCAGGCGGGTGCTATGGGGCCCCGCCTAGCAGGAGGAGTTCTCACTCAGTCTGAAGTTCTGCGGGTGCGCAGAGCTCTTGGATTGGGGATCCCCGGGCCAGAAGGCAGCCGGGGACTGACTGGTCTTAAGCCCTTGGGCTGTCAGACGCTACTGAGAGGCCACAGAAGGACTGAGACTGAGGGCATGTGGGTGTGTGACCAGCCATCCCACAGCAGAGAAAAACGAGAGGTGGGGGAGAGAGAAGAAAGAGGCCCCGGCAGTGCCCCGAGGGAGAAACTCGGTTGCTGTACTTGCTTAGCAGACTCTCAGCCTGGCTAGCTTGCTTGAAGAGGCAGTCCTCCGTGGCTGGAACACAGAAAGGTCCTCCAGGTGGGAAGTTAGGTGTGGTGGCTTCGGCTACTCCATGTTTCCCCACGGTGGTTCCCAAAAGACACGAGGAAGTTCGTGATTTTTACAGGCTTTAATGTCATAGTGGATGGTAGATGAATCTGGATGCACCCCCTCACCCCCACCCTGTGAAACCCAGGGCTGACCTGAGTCAAATAGGGAGGAGGAGGGTCTCTGGAAGAATGCTTAATTGGCTATGCCTCTGGCCTTCAGGTATCTCATTAGTATGTAAATCTCTTGAGGCTGAGGCCTGTAGTAACTCCCTCTACCTGTGCTGGATGACACAAACCTCTCTTAGGGAGGAGCTGTATTGCCTAATGTGACTGAAAATCGTGGGTCAATGGCGTGTCAGGAGCCTAGGGTCTGAGGGCGTGGCTGAAGACTTACCGTTGTCCCACTAGGGTCCAGGGTTCCAGGCTTGTGCCCAGCCAGGGTAACCAAGCTGTCATTTCACAGCCCCACACTTCCTCAGTCTGTTGAGATGGTAGGAGTTATTTTTGGCTTACCACAAAAGCAAAAAATGGCTTCTGACATTAGGAAACACAAGGGATTCCCTAACATTTCCTGTGTTACACCAATAGATGTCCCCTGGCAGTAGCAGCACAGGAAGTTGGTGCTGCTTGGCCTTCTAAGGCCACATTAGATCCTTGTGCTGGTTCTGTTAGTGAAACAGTCACTTCTATTTAGGATGGTTTTGCTAAGAAGCATTGTCCCTCACTGGGGCCATAAGGTGGACAAAGAGCCTGATTTTTCTGCCTTTACTTTGTATGTTTCTCTCTGACTCCTGGCTGCCTGCTGCATCAGTCACTTCTCTTGCTATAACAACCAACAATTAGAAGAGAGCTTTATTCTGCTTCTAGTTAAAAACCATCTCATGATGGTGAGGAAGGTGTGTCGGGAGGAGCAGAGGCTGCAGGGTCCTCGAGAAGTCCAGAGGATATAGAAAGTAGGATTGAGCTATAAAGCCTCAAGGCCCACCTCCTGTGACCAACTTTCTCCAACAAGGCTCCACCTCCTAAAGCTTCCACAACCTTCTCAAACAGCACCACTATTTGAGGACTGAGAGTTTTAAACCCACAATTATGTTTCATGTTCAAAGCAGCATGTCTGTTCATCTTTGCAAGTCCACACTAGTCAAGAAGCATCTGTTCAGGCTGTCTTCTTCTGCTTTGGGACTAAAGGCACAGTGACAAGCTGTTGTCCTAAGCTTGTGATGAACAGCACAGCCTTACAAGACAGAGCCCACAGACCCACACCCAGATGAAATCAATCTGGGAGCAGAAGTCATCTTCTGAGAAAATCTTGTCCCATAAGTAATATGGACTCCTATGAACCACTGTGCAGAACCAGAGCTGGGACAATGGTCAAGGAGACTACAACTACACAAGAACTGTTTAATTATTTGTACCTTTGCCTGTCCTGTTTCTTCCTTAATTTACAGGATTGTTTTCTATGGGATGCTATCTGAAATGAATGAAAAGTGAAGTTATGTTTAATGAG